ATTCCAAAATAAATAAACTTGAACTTAAAATCAGCAGCTGTATTTTTGCTAAGCCTTACATTTGCAAACCTGCTTTTTGTCTACACAAGACGTCGCACACTATCATCATGCAGCTGTTCAGAAACTCTCCCTCGGTAAATGTCCGGCCTGATTTTCTCCTCTGCCCCAATAAAACTTGCTTTCACAGCAGCTTCACTGTGTGATTTCACTTTGGTGAAAACGTCTGCTGTGATGTCAGATTCCTCTTCAACTCCTCTACCTTCTGTAGCTTCTGCTCTGTATTCACATTTTTCAGCTTGTCCTGATGTTTTGTCTCGTAGTGGCATCTTAGGTTATATTCCTTAATTACAGCCACATTAGCTCCACAAATAAGACACACAGGTTTACCGACAGTGTCAGTAAACATATACTCAGCCTCCCAACCGGTTTAGAAAGGCTCTGTTTTCAGAATCAACTTTTCTCTTGGCCATTGTTAGGAGCTAGCTTTGACTTGGAATTAGGATTGTATACACCAACAAATGCTTGATTGATCCGATCTAATTGACGTGGGAATGATCGCAGGTAGCCTATCGTTCAGTAAGGCAGCTGTTGCGCTGTGTTATGGGATTTGTAGTTTGTGTGTTATCGGTGCTTCATATCGCCGGGCCATTAAAAAAAGATATATAAAATGATCTTGCGGGCCGGATGTAATTGTACGCCAGGCCGGATGTGGCCCGCAGGCCTTGAGTTTGACACATGTGCCTTAGAGGAAAATGTCTGCTTTATTGCAACTTGGGTCATATCTTGTAGTTGTGTATATGATCAGTTATGATGATTTTTGTACTTTTCTTGTGGAGCAAGAAACACAAGCTGTCTAATAATCAGACAAGTTGTAAACTAATGAACAGATTAGCCAGATTGAAATCACATGGAAAGTGAACACAGACTGAAGCTAATAATTCCACAGGAAAACTCCCAGTCTGGGGGCCTCTGCATGTCAGGACCCCTCTCTCTGAGCTGTTTCTCTCTGTAGCTATCAAAGGCAGAAATGCCACAGCTCACTTTGATATATCTCAATTGTTTTATCTGTACATAAACAAAACTATGGTAAATTGTGGTTAAACAATGCTAAGATATAAACTAATGCTCCCTCTCTCTTGTAAAATCCCATGTACTCAGCATTTCTGCATACTGTTTTGTAAGTTCCAAAATTGTACAGGAAAGAATATTGCAACAGCTTTGGCATATTTGTTCGGCAGGTTTCTAATCACTCATTACAAGAGGATCTGAGGCAGCACCAAACCTTTGCTGCTTGGTCAGTGTCTTAGCAGCAGTAAAGAAGTCTGGATAATTGAAAACCAAAGTAAACACTCGGTTTGACACTCAGTCCTCTAGTTAGTCCTCTAGTTATTTTGAGTGATTTGTAGACTTGAAAAACTATGTCACTGCTGCTTGCAAAACAAAGATGCTTCTCTGCACTGACAATTTGACATATGTAAGAGCGCTACATGCAGCTCTGTTTAAAGTGATTGGGATTAAAAATGAATAAATCCTCAATGTGGGAGGCTCCCAGCTCTGCAGAGCTGTGCCAGAGACAAAAATCATTTTGACAGGTCTCATTGTGATGTATGGAATAAATGCTAACATGTGTTTCCAAAGGCTGATTTGCTCTCCTGTTCTGTCTGCAGCATTACTTTCATTTGAGCAGCAACTTGACTGATGGTGATATCTACCTCTACAATAAACCTGGAGGCCAGGGAACAGGAGGCAAAGGTAATCACATTCTCCCTGCTCAGCATGCCTTCACCAATGTGTGTCCTCTGGCATGTATAAATGTTCTGTTACCACAGTGGCCTTGTGTTGATGTTATATGACAACCCAGCTACCTGTTCTGGATTAAGACCTTCTGAAGAGTAGAATCACTTGGATACAGGTTCTACACACATGCTATAATGACTAGCCAGTAATCAATAAATCAAATATTTTGGTCATAAATGAATTTGTCAGTCATGAAACTCAAAGATTCACAGGTTGTGAGTGTTTGCAGATTTTCAGTTTTACACTAATGACATTTTGGACTGTTGATTGGACAAACAAGATGTTTGAAGGATCCCCATTGATGCTAGCAGTATGTGTTTGCTTTATTGTTGTTAATTTTATTTATTGTATTCATCATAATCTTTAGCTTAAGTACTTAAAAAAAGAGAGATCAGCTATGGTAGTTAATCAGTAATGAAAAGTCTCAGTCAGTTGTTGGCAACCGCCTTTTTTAAGACGTGTAAAAGAATTAAAAATCACGAGTGGGGTATTACTGGTGTTTCTCCCTTCATAGAACCAAATATGAAAATGTATTGGTCTCGTGTTAACCACAGACCTTATTTCAGGCGTTTAACCAAAAACCCATAGACTTCAGGGTGAGAGAACCAGAGGTGCAGAAATGCTGTCTCAGTTCCGGGGTTTAGGACTCACCACTATGGTACTCTGTTGTTAAGCTGCTAATGCAGAGGGAGTATGATATCATCAGATACGGTGACTGTTTTCTTTTCCTATCTATATCTTCCACATTCAATGCAGAACATGTGTCCTTTGCTTGTCTGGCATGAAATAAACTACCACACTTGTCTTCACTGTTCACACACTGCACTGATGTGCATCAAAGTAATAATAATTATTATTATTATTTTCCTGAGGTAGCTTTCTCTTTCTCCTTGTTCTCACTGTGCACCAAACCTCATGCTTAGACTTCTATTCAGGCCATGTGCACATTTCTTTGTTTCTCACTTTATAATGGCCTTTGTGTTCCCCTCACAGTATTATTTTCAGACAAGTGTTTGCACTTAGATTAAATTGCCAACCTAATTTGCTCTATAACCTGAGACAACCAGCCTGTTGCTGGAAGCATCTGCACTGTCTTGTTCATTGTACTGTATGTGGATTGTTGACTGCTACATGAGCAATACACAAGTGCTGTTACCTCCTCAGAGAGATCACCTGTAAGTAACAGGAGCACTGCTGGCTAGTGCCCTGGGTTACCAGTCGTACAGTATGGTCACTCGCTCATCAGTGCCAGGTGGACAGTCAGTGCAGTTTGTTACTTCAAACTTGGAAATGGAGAAATTGGTTTAGTGTTCACAGCACCTCATCTCTGTATATTTCAGTTACAGTCATAACTGATAAATTCAATTTCCTGCAGCAATACTTTGTCATTTATCAATATGCTAACGTCACCTACTGGCATTTGAAGTCAGTTAAGGGGGAGTGCTGCTGCTGGTATTAGCTCTGCGACTGAAAGGTTACTTTGTTCAAAGTGAAATTCAGCTGTGGAAATAGAATAAATGACTCTGCCATCCTTCACCAGCTCCCACCAAAGGCCAGCTTATTAAGAATGCAAATGATGAGATTACGGAATTGAAGCCATCATTTATAATTGCTAATACTGTTGTAATATACTACCTCACATTGTCACTTTAACTTAACATTTGATTGTTAATCACAGTGCTACATTTTCATTTGCAGAACACATTATCCTGTGTGGGCTGGCTCAAGCAGTTTTGCTCCATTAAACAACTACAAAGAAACTATACAATTATGCAGTCTAATGCTGGCAGTACAGCTAAAGTATTAGGCTGAGATGTGGACTCAAATCAAAAGGGAAATTTGAGGAAATTAAAGGGAATTAGTTGTTTACCAAAATAGTTTGTTTTAAATTTGCCAGGAGATTATGATTGTGGTTGTACTCGACTGGTATCAAATGTTAATGCTCACTGCATGAAATTGTGTTATTGACCAAGATCGTTCTAAGCTAAGTGACGGAGCATCGGCCGTGACATGTCCATGCTTCTACTTAATGTTAAGGAGGTGTGTTGCTCAAGTCAAGAGCTCTTGTTGTGTTGTACCTGTTAATCACTGACTTTTTAGCTTACTACAGAATGGCGTGCCATTGGTTTATGCGAATGCAGTTAAAAACAACTATGTGGAAATGGTTACTGGTTGATGTAATGATACCTTCAGCCTATGAGAGCTGATTGTTGCTCTAATGAGAGTCCCCCATGAAAGATTTCTGACAAAATCCACAATCCTCTTTCTGTTTAAAAAAACGCATTCTAAATTTCAGTGGAAGTTAATATGAGGCTTCTTATGCATTTTCTCTTTCTTAGTATCTCACTATGGGGTATGCCTCCTCACATAGCCCTCAGAATTCCCTAATCTGTTACACAAGCCAATTATTGCTGGCAACAGTGACACTGAGGTGCATCCTCTCCCTACCTACGTTTAGGGTGGACACTGCTTCACTGAGATATTTCACCTGAAAGCTCCTTCTCAACGTGAATGAACCTTACCGTACCTTGGTGTTTAGCTTATGTAGATGTTTTTGAATATGAATTTCATATTCTTGCCTCAAGAAAAGGGGTGCCAAAGTCATGTATTATTTGCAATTCTCTGCGGTCCCCTTAACATTTTAGAACTATGTGTAAATATTATTTGTACTGTAGTTGGAGTTTCTTTTCTTTCCTGTTTATTCTTTTTTCCTTTCTTTTTATATTTGTGTTATTCTCTAGTGGTCAACCAATTGATCGATCGGCTGATTAATGAGGCCTATTTCTGGCATTTTTCGGTGATCAGCATCAGCCAGTGACTGCACTCTAATTGGCTGATATGTCTGCAGACAAATAATGTGTGCACTACTACTGTGTGCAGTGTAAGTATTTACAAACCTATGTTGTCTCAGGAGAATGCAACAGGGCTTAGGACTGAGTGATCAGTTGCATTTCATGACCAAAGTTCACACTGGGTGCCACTGCAAAATAAACAAGTTATGCATGAACGACTGCTCTGACTGTGGAAACGGTGGACAGACAAACAGTCTCCACAATACTGTGTTCACAGCGTTGATCTGCAGGTCTGTCACTTGCCTGCTTCACGAAATGGAGACTTCCAGTCTGTGCTGATCCACAGTGACTCTGAGACAGACACATCGTCCTTTGACCCTTTTAATGCTTCTGCTTTTATCTTTGGGGCATTTGAAGTGCAGTGTCTGGTGTGGCGGAAGTGTCTCTCGAGCAGGGGATGTGGGGTAGCTGGGGGTTTGGGTGTGGGTCCGTGTTCACTCTATAGAGGTGAGCAAACACTTATAACACAATCATATTGATTAATATAGGCTGGTTATTTTTCAAGGACAGTTATAATCTAAGTGTTTTTTTTAGCGGTTGCAAAATTAAGTCCTCCACAGATCACTGGTCAGTGTTTCACTCAAAAACGTAACCACAGCTCGACTGAAAGTGAGATGTTCATCCCTAGGGCAGCTGTCAGTCAACTCTTAATGACTGACAGCGGATGGAGAAACAGTCTTCACCAGGCTGACTGACAGCAGAAATATGCCGGACAACAATAGTTTTCATGTAGGCCTTATGCACGGAATCCTGAGACACCAGTAAAAAGGTTTGCAACATAAGATAACTGGAGATTTGGGTGATTTAAACAGCAGTGTCTGGAGATTACGCTGCACTCTGTACACCAGACAAAATAGACCTGAAGCATAAAAGGTCTTTTAGATAGGACGCGGTGGGCACTGCGCTCTGCTATGAAACCCATTCATTTCTCTGTGACACGGCGCAAGAACTTATCTGCGCTGTGCCAAGCTGAGCGCAGCACAAGCTCACGCGTGCCATCCCTGTGCACTGTGCTGAAGTTAAAGTTTAACTTGGGCGTGGCGCTCTGTGACGACACCTTGACCCGTCCAATTGCAAAGAATCTGACATACCACAAGGAGAAACTGATTTTAGCGGCCCCACACCCTCTTCTTTGCGGCTCCTCATCAATACAACTAAAGCCAGAGCTTTTCGTTGACATGTAGATAAACTGGTTAATATTTGCGAACCACCTCCTGGAAAGCTTTTTGGTCACCTTGCAACTGATGCCCAACATGTGCATGATTTGAATTGAGCTCATCTGGCAGTAGGGGAGTCTGAATATCCCAGTAGTGAGATACCAAGTAAATACTTGCAAGAGAACTTAAGGTTATGACCATAACCCTGGTTCTTCGATAACATGAGTGAGGCATTTCACCTGTCCACCCTCCTTACATGAAGCGATAAAGAAGTTCATCTCCTAGACTAACTCAGTGAAGCAATGTCTACCCTATATATGGGGGGGGGGGGCTCTCCTACACCAAAGTTACAGCTGCCATCTACAATAGGCTCTGTACTTGACTGTAGTCTGCTGACTGGTTTCAACTGTGACAAGCATACCAGTTTCCAGTTGCTTATCTACTCAATTGTGGCATAGAGTGATTACAGTATTTAGCTAACTAGACTGGCAGCAGTTTACTTTACTTACATGGTATAACATCTAATGTCTTCGGGTGATCCAGTAAGCTGCTGCAACCCAGGACGTTCTTTAAGTCTAGAGCTTGTAGTTAGTGTCTTAGGGCCTCAGTTTCTTGCACTATACTGTCCATTTATAAATAACATTTGCTGTTTCGGTGTGGTCTATCAAACTTCATTGCTTTTACCTACAAATAAAGGACAAATTCCCTA